ACTCGGCCCTCGGCCCGGCCGGCTCCTGGGGCCGGTCCTGCCGGTGAACCTCAGCACCCCCCGCCCCCGTGATGCTGCAGTGCTGCGGAGTGCGGGGAGCAGGCGGGAGAGACCAGCCCACGCCGGGCCCCAGGAGGAGCGGGGCCCGATTCTGCATCCGGGTGCAGAGCGCTTGTGCGGCAGGTGAGGACGGCCCAGGAGCCGGTCCTGCTGGAGGTGCCATGGTGCGGGTGGAAGCCACCGTGAGATCTTGGGGGTCTCCTGTCCTCCTGGGGGGGCCTCCACCCCCAGGCCGGTGTGGGGGCCGCTGCCCCAGTGCATGTGCTGCACTGCTCAGCTCCTGCTTCTGGGACAGCACGTGGTGAAAAGCAGGGGAACTTCCTCAACTGTATAGAAAGCACCACGAAAGTCATTTGCTCCAAAGGGTGTTTAAATTTCAGGAAGAGGGCTACGTGTGACTTCCTGGGGCCTCTGAGGTGTCAGACATGGGACATGGAGCTGTCCTGCACTCAGAGCCTGTCAGCTGTCCCTTGTCTCCCTCTGTGTCCCCGGGCGGTCAGCCCGGACCCCGCCTGGCGCCCACCTCGTCCTCCTGTGCTGACCGCAGAGCCAGCACCGCGACTGCGCTCCTGAGCTCTGGGAAGGATGAGGCGCTCCGTCCATGTGGGGCCTCGAGCGCCCGGAGGGTACAGGTGCTCTGGAGCCCGCCCACCGTCCAAGTGTGACGGGGGCTAGTTCTGCCCTCCTCGGCCCGCGGCCCTTGAGGGTCACCCGGCCGCCTGCAGACGTGGTTCCTTCCTGCTCCCAGCCTGACTTACCCGGCACTCGACCAGAGGGGACCTTCCGGGCCCCCTTTGGGCCTGACAGCAGGCTTATGAAAACACGGGGGTCTTAGAAGGCAGCTCTGGCCATCCCCACGTTTCCCCAGATGGTGGGTCATAGAGCGAGTTTAGAATTTGCTGTCGGGGCGGAGTGACCCTCACTGCAGAGTTGGCCTCACGGGCCGGTCGGGCAGGTGGGCCTCTGGCCGGGCTCGGCTTGCGGCCTGTTCCTCACAGAAGCCCCCGACTTTGATTCTGCAGGGAGTTCACGTGGAGTCCAAGATGCCCCTTGGTGGGGCTGGGGACACGGCCAGACCACGTGGGAGCCACCCCACCTGCAGCGGAGCCGGGCCCGGGGCCACGGTGTGGGACAGGTGGGACGGGACCCTAACTCCCCAAGGCGGACGTCCCTGCCGAGGGCCGGGTCGACCTGCCGCCAGCCTCAGCGGCCCCGGGGCGGGTAGGACGAGCTCCCGTGCGCCTCGGGCCTGGGCCACACGGGCTCGTGTTTAGCGCCCGATCCCCATTCTGTGAAAAAGCCACTCCTCACGGAAGGTTTTCTGCTGTCTTTCAGTGCAAAGCCCAGACCCCCGGCCGATTCGAATGGGGTGGGGGGCAGACGCGGGGGAGGAAAGCCGGCCGCGCTGGGGTCCGGAGCCGCACCGTCCCTGGGCCGCAGGCTCCTCTCTGCCCCGAGCCGGCCCCACCACTGGCCGGGCTCTGTGGAAAGTAGAGCCCGTGCCCAGTGGGGCCTGGATCACGCTCTCAGCTTAATAAATGCTGCTTCCCTTTGCAGCAAATAAAACAACCCGCTGGCTGTAAGTTAATTAATACAACTCTTGCCGTCTTATTATTCTTAGATACAAAGCTAATTTGGAAAGACACGTGTTTCTTTTAAAGTTGCCTGGTTTAAAGGGCTCAGGGGCCGAGGTGATTGAGAGACAGCGGCCCTTAGCGTGCGATCCTCGCAATCAGAGGGAATATTAGATCACGGCTCCTGCTCCCTCCCTCCCACCACCGCTCCTGGACACCACGTCCACGTGAACTTCTCACGCTCCCCGTGGGCCCGAGATCCTGAAGCAGATGTCCGCCAGGCACCCCTGGGCGGGCATCCCGCTCCAGGACGAGCCCCACGGGGGCACAGACACCATGTGGCCGCCCCACAGAAGGGGCCCCAGTCACGAGACTCCGGGGGGCCGGGGGCTCCTTTCTGCGTCACCGGGGGAGGCGGGACTGGGGCCCAACCTCGCGGCCAGCCACCCAGGCGCCTTGAGGCTCTGCGTGTCTGCAGTGGGCCCGGCCTGCAGGCTTTTCCCTCGAGGAGACCCCCGTGGCAAAGCTGTGCCTGGGCGTTCCCGTCGGGCAGAGGATGCTGGAGGCGTGGGGCCGGCGCTGGACTAGGGGGCGTCTGTGGCCGGCCCCAGGCAGAGGCCGGGCCCCGATGGGGCCCCCGGGGTGCCCGCTTCCCCGAGGTGTCTCCTGCCAGCACGGT